CTCAGCAAAAGCCCCAGGAGTGGCTCTGGGCTGCCCCAGAGATGCTGCGCCTGCTGCGGGGCCCGAAAGTCCTTTCCAGAGGCAGCAGCACCTGCAAATCCCCCCACCAGAGCAAAGATGGAGTCTCTGCAGAAGTTGTCCAGTGGGAGGTGGCAGCAGCCTGCACCCAGGGCCAGCCCTCTGCCTTGCCCTAGCCTGGGGGCAGCCAGGCTCTGCCCTGCTCTTCTGCAGGACAGGGACACGGGGCAGGGGCTGGGGGCCAGTGCAGCCGTGGCAGGGACAAGGGGCAGAGCCGGAGCAGGTGGCCCCATAGCCACCCAGCTCCAGCTTCGCCTGCTGGACACACACCGGCCCTGAGCAAAGCAGATAGCAAACGCTTGCTCAAAACGCAGTATTAATTACACTGCTCAGAGAGCCGCAGCTCCCCATGCCTTGCTGGGCCTCTCCGGCAGCTCTGCACGGATCCTGCCCCTGCACCGCAGCACCGGCCAGGCACCGGCCGCCTGGCCCCAGCCATCAGCCCCCTTGTCTCGGTGCTTGAATAATTGATGGTGGCGGGTGCATGCAGCCGTCTTGTGTAGGAGGAGGTCTGGGCATGAATCTTTCATGTGTTTGCGTCTCCTGGAGCTGCTGGGGATGGTCTGCGGGAGGTGGGGATGTGCTGGGAGCCTGGGGAGGTGGGGACCATCCCCAGCTCTGTCCCCAGGGGGAAATAAATACAGCAGGATGGCCCTTGTCACAGGGGAGGGCAGCACCGCAGCAGCTTTCTGGCCCTGGGGAAGAGCAATGCTCTGCTGTGACCCCTCTCCCGAGGGCTAGGGACATCCCAGGTGCCTTCTCCAGCATTTCCTCCCCTTCCCACCACTAGAAGGATGCCCGAGCACACGGTGCCCGCTGCAGGTGGAGGACGCGGGTACGCAGGACAGCAATGTGACCTTGGCTTCTGGTGCCTGGGCACGGAGCGGGATGGCAGGAGGCATTTCGTCCCTGCCCTGCCAGCCTCGCTCCCGGCATCCCCCCTGCCTGGGGCTGAGGGGCTGCATGCAGAGGGCAGGGGGGGAAGCAGGCAAGAGTGCAGGCAGGAGTGTAGAAGAGTGTAGAAGCAGCTAGCCCCTTCCCAGTGCCACCATGCCGGGGCACAAGCCAGCAACCTGGTGTCAGGAGGCAGGAGGGGGCACAAAGAGCACTGGGCAGCCCTGGGAGGAGGAAGAGGCCGTTGCCCCAT